CCCACTGTAATACTATATATGTATGTATATATGTATACGTGTCCTCCTCGGAGGCGCGCGCCCGACCCGAACATACAGTATACCCATCTTGCAGTGTGTCTCGTTTCCCGAGCGGCGTGGCCATAAAAGCGCCCGCCACGACGCATATACAATAAGATTTCTCGGCGGGCGCATCGCTCCCCGGGGGCGACGCACATCTAATATCAGTATGTTGGGGGGGCGCCGACATAGCAACGATCCGCCCCCGGGCCTCTGGGCACGGAGTGGGCGTGTCCTTAGGTCCGTTGCCGAACCTCTGGAGCCCCAACCCTCACGCCTGAGGAGTCTTCAAGGGGCCCTGACCGAAAATTATCCTATCTCCCAGGGCTTCTCGCGTGCCCCCTGCGGCTTCCCGCGTGCCAGCTGAGCTGCCCCGCATCTCGTCGAGAGACATGTTCGAGCCCAAGAAAGCCCCAAGACGGGCCCAGAAAGCCTCGAGAAGCCCCCCAAGATGGTCCAACAGGCCTCGAGTCGCCTAAAGATGGCCCCAAGATGCACAAGATGGGCCTCCGACACGCCCAACGAGATGCTCACAAGAGGGCCCCAAGAGCCCCAAATCGTCCATTGCCCATCGGTGTTTTACAGATGTGGGCGTTCTCGCCTTTTCGTTTCCCCGACGCTGCTCCCAGACAGCCCTGGAGGCCCCCAAGACCGCCCAAAGGCAGTCCACCAAGAGGCCTCCAACAGGCCCCGAAACAGCCTAAGAGGGCCCCGACACGGCCCAAGAGGCGCCCAAAACGGCCCACGAGGCCCCAAGACGGCCCCCAAGGGGCTCAAGAGATGGAACACGAACCGAAAATCCGAGCCTTCCGCCCCAAGAGGCCCGCAGGAGGCCCCAAGAGGCGCATATGAGGACACACGAGGCCCCCAAGAGGCCCCTCCAAGAGGCCCCAAGAGCCCCCCCAAAGGCCCAGAAGAGGCTCCAAGAGGCCCCAAAACGGCTCCCAAGAGGCGTTCAAACTGCCGCCAAGAGACCCCCGAGAGGCCTCCCACAAGATCCCAACGAACGTCCAAAAGGCTTCATGTCTACAACAAAGGCAAGGTGGCGGGATGGGCCGAAGGACCTTAGATAACGATAACAGCAATACTGTTCTTGGGACAACAATCCAACGTCTTAAACCAAGGCTCGGCCATACATGAGCTGGAAACGATGTATGCACATCATAAGAGGTTCTTAGAACACTCTTGGTGGGCCGATAAGCAGGCGAGGGCGCTTCGTCACTGCTTGAGTGTGGAAGGCGCTGGAGGTATAAACCATGCCGCCTGGTCGTCTACGGCGCTCGGTGTATAGACGCCACAGCTCCTCAAGCGATGGGATGCTGGAGCGCCTATACATCTGCGGTGG